AAATTTATTTATTGGATACAAGGGGTACCCAAACCCATTTACATTTCAGCAAACATCAGAGTGCTGCCTCTCCTATACATACAGCAGGATTTATGGAAAGATAACGCCTTCCCTTTTAGTGTCTCATGTTCAGCATGTCTTTTTATTGCTGATCTGGGGTCATCTTTCCATAATTCCTGATTTAAATTTGGATATAAATTGGCTTTTAACCAGTGAAAAGCTCTGTGCTTTATGAGCTCGCCAACCTCCTCCTCACTATCTTGGTCTTTCCCAAAAACCTTCTGATTTCTCCATACCCATAACGTCCAGATTGTTGTCAGCCATACTACCCTCCATGCTTCCCTCAACTCCTTTTTTTGATTAAGTCCCATGTGCTGCTCGTAGTGGATCATGGATGAGAACCATGATAGATGTATATCATCATCAAGTTCTCAGAGTTCTCATCCCAAATTTTGTCAGTTTAGTAATCTACCAAAACAATGGTAAGCTTTCTTTTACTACTTATATATCAATCTGAATGAAGTTTTCTTCTTAATTATTTCATCTTGATGGCTTTGGCTTACCATTTATTTTAAAGTAGCTTCACTATCACCAATAGCTAGTTTTATAAACTTTGTCTTGTTTTAGTTTTTTTTTTTTTTATAAAATGTTAAATTTTTTTTATGAATTGTCGTGTTTTAATTAATTGGGAGCCACATCACAACACACTTGGATTATGATTAGCTAGTTTTGTCATATACATTAGGTATGAATGTGTTCTATCAATTAAGGGTCATGATATATCATATATATAGGCTATGATTTTGTCATGCTATAAGCCCGTCTTATTACAATTGGAACAAATTAAGAGGATTTCCATTTTTTTTTTCGCAGATGCTACCAGATGTTGGCTACGGGCAGGCATACCTGTGTGGCAGGAATAAGACCAATATCTTTCCGTTTTCGAAAGCTTATGGAATGATATGGGTTGGAGGATTGGATATGTTATCTATCCATTCTATTCCAGGGGGGACGAGGAGATATATGTTATGCATTGCAGTAGCGTGCGACGTGAAGCAAAGCTTCAATTTTTGCTGCTGAATCCACCATTATTTTCGCTAAAAACTTTTCAAGAACATTATATATCTTTCGTCACCTCTCATGTTGGAGAAAAGCTACAATTGCTTGATTGTTTTCAATGTTTTCAAGTATATACCAAAGGCAAAAAATTTCAAACTTTTAAAGGATGCATATTTGTACAGTGGCAGTCGTTTACAATTATGAATTACGAATTTACAAGTCATATATGATTTTCAAGAAGTCTTCCTTTTCAATGAACAGAACGGACTACAAATGAGAAAAGCTTATTAGTATGGGTTATAACAATGGTCACACATTACTTTGTTAAGATCATATATTTTTGTTATTATTTTATTAATTTATAGCATTTTTTTTGTCAAATAATTACAATATTTAAAAATATTTATTTATAAATTAATTTTAATATGTAAAAAATTGTTAAACTGTTAAATATTTTCATTTCAATTAATTTGTAAAAAAATAGTTAAATACTAACAAGCTAAATAATTTAATAATAATCTATTTCAAGAGATCTTGAGTTTCAGTTATATAAAAAATAATTAGGTTTGTTTAAAGGATGAAGGAGGTAGGTTTGATTACAAATTGAGAGAGGGTTGCTTCACATTTTGAAATTTAAAATAAAAAAAATTGTTAAATATATGTTGTCAAATATATTGAAATTAATCGATGACAAATGGTTAAGAAATTGTACCACTATTTCGTATGTGCAAAGATTGGAAAATAATTAGTTCATTCTCTGATTCAACATATCCGTTAACATCCATTGGTTCAACTATTAAAATCTATAACTTTAAATCTTCTTCCTTAATTCAAATTTAAAAATAATAAATTTATAATAAATATATTATAAAATATGTTGAATAAGAGATGTATCAATCATTGTGTATAAAAATTTCCAACATACTTTGAGGCAACTAGCTAAATCTAGTTCCTTAGTAGGTTGTTACTACCTCTTTGATGAAGTTCGAACCCTCAAGTTCGACAATATTTCTCTCTTCGTCTTTGTTGTAGTAAAAAGTAGATTTTTCCTTCTTTTAAAAAGGTGTTTAAATAGTAATTTATTACACATCATACTATATTAATAAATGAATCAACGATTATACCGTTTGTTTGGGTAGCTTCACAAGATCTAGTTGACCACAAGTTGACCAGCATTAGGACCTGCAAAATAGAGCCGAGGGTTGTCCTTCGGGTAGATACTTTGATGCTCAAGTTAGCAATATTTTATACTTAGGGTTCTTTTTAGAAAGAAAGAAATATAATATAGAAAGAAGAGCTCTTGGAAAGGTCCATTTACCTTTGAGGGGTCTAGGAGTATTTATAAACCCCCTTGGAAGTGTTTTACACGTGTGCAACACGTGTTGCACTTTTATTGGTCCCTTTGAATTTATTTGAGTGTATATAAGCTCCATTGTAATTCATGAATGTGCTCATTTACATTTGGGCCTTATGGGTCTTTATTACGTTTATAGGCCTTATGAGTCTTTATTATGTTTATGGATTTGTTAGATTACTATTCCAACACCGTTTTAACTAATTAAACTAAATTTTTGGAATGAGTACTCTAACTAACATCTTGATAATTATTAAAAAATAATACAAATGTAATTTTTATAATAACTATTTTAACACTTGTGACTGTTATGATAGTTAAATCTAAAGAAAGGACTATTAGAACATCTATACCAATATAGGGATAAAGTTGAAGTATTTCTATCGTTGGAATTTGATAAAGAGATTACAAGTATAACTAAGTACAAAAAGTTCAAGAACTATAAATGAAAATTTCCATTGCATATCAATTTGCAATTAATTCCTCATCTTTGATTATTTAGCCAAACTATTGATCTCATTAAACCCTAAGGTAACAAAAAGGATGTCATTACATATAGTTTTTTCCCGATTTTCTGAGTTGTCCTTAGATGGGATTCTTGTTGTCTTGTCTACCCTTCTTTACCCTTCTTTCCAGCAGTAGCAGAGGATTCTAGTTGAGTAACAGTTTCTTGGTTTTCCTAACTTGCAGTGGTGTCTTTGGAATGAATGTAAAGAACGTTGCTCTATTTGCATAGGGTATCTATCTACGAGAGGAGGAAGAAGAGCTTCTGTGGCTGTGCTTGTGTGATTCCATTTATAATAATATAAGATTATGCTTTCCATAAAAAATAAAATTCTTGCCTTTAATTATTTCATTTCCATATTTAGCTAAAGGAAAAAAACAATAATCATTGTTACTTTTCATATATTTCTTTAACTGGATCACTAACTCACTAATAAAATTGTAATTGGATGGCAAAGATAACTAACTTAAAATTGATGAAAAAATTACAGAATTCATCAAACTTGAAAAATATAGCCATTGGAAAACCTCAGGATAAAAAAAAAAGCCACAAAAGGTCTCTATTTTGAGAAAGGACAATGGTGTGTTTACCCTATTGACCAGCACCCTTACCTACGCCTATTCGATTCAATAAATATAATATGATTTAAGATTTCTATAATGTTAAAAGCTTGTCCCTAGCTTATTTGGGTTATCTTATTTCTCCTTTCTGTGGTTCCCCACCTTCTTCCCCTTCCCTCTCCATTCTCCATTGTTGTCAATCTCTTCCTTCTCCGATGTTGGTTCTTTTCTTGCCCCTCAATCTCCCTTGTTGGCTCAAGCCTTTCCTCTCCAGTCTAGCTGTTTTCCTTTCCATAAAATCTACTACCCATCTCTATTCTTAATCTAGGTTTCAACAGATCTTGGCATCCTCTCACCCTTGCCTCTCTCTTTCTCTCCGTTGCTAAGCCTCCTCTCCATTCATGCCTTCTTCCTCATCTGATTGAACCATGGAAAGTCTAATGTTCTAGATCTAGGTTTGGCAAGGCTGCACAACAAGGAACCCATATGGGTTCCTAAATTTGTTCTCAAATTTGTTGACCCGACTTCAACTCAACAACAAATTCATCCTTTAGATCATTGTTTTGATTTTAATAAGTTATTCATTGCTTCGAATTGCAAGAAAATGAAGAGAAAATGAGATCATTTTTTGTTTAAATTTAAATTGTTTTTACTTCTTGTTATCTTTTTTCTTGGGAATTTTTATAGATTTCCATTTTAACTTGATTTTATTGCTTGGTTGGTTTATTGGAGGGGAGAATTGTAACTGGAGAATTAGATGGTCTTCTTTTTTTCCCATTTTATTCTTTTTTTCCCATTTTATTCTTTTATGTGTATTACTTCCTTTGTTCCCATTTTCTCCATTTTCATTCTCACCTGTACCTCCCTCACAAACTATTGATTGGATCAATTGCCCACACTAGAATCACAAAAGGGGAGACAGGTGAGTAAGAGAGTAAGCCAGAGAGAGTATAGTTCAGTGAAAGAGATGAAAAAGATTGACAATTAGTAATCAGATTTGTTGTTAGATTGAAGTTGCACATGATTAAACCTTTTAGCTTAGGTGAGCTTTTATGGTTGGAGAGCATAAAAACCTAGAATGCAAAGGGGGCAGAGAAAAAAAATATGGCATCAAAATGAATTAGAATGATGAGAGGATACAAATGAGATGAGTCTTTAGAAGAAATAAAAAGTAGACATCGGCCTCTTCCCCTTATCGATTGTAGAGTCGAATAATCTGGAATTTCATGATGACATGGCACAATGAGTAAGTGAGTGCCCTCCTTGGCGAGGAGAAAGTCTATTATATCGAGAAATACGTTTGGAAACACAAGTAAACCAATATAGTACGAATGGCAACAAGTTTAAGCTGTTCCTGTCTAATTCCAAAATCGTAAAATATTAATTTTTTATTTAGTGTGCGACAATGAGTGAGGAACCGGATGTGCATGAATCAGCATCCTTTGAGAAAATAGGGTGCGCATCATCAGTTCTCTTTATAAAACTCATAACTCATGTCTTTAACATTGATGATCACCACAAACAAACAAATTAGATAGATCAATCAACAATAAAGCTGCAAAGGGAGTTGGGGAAAAGACAAAGTGATGGAAAGAAACTGAAAAACTCCAAACATGAAAAATGGAACCTTCAGCATAGAACCAAAAAGGAAAAAACGCCTCTGTTTGAGAGAAACCAAAACCATCAGCACATACAATTCATGCTAGGGCAGAAGGCAGTTCACCTAATATAAATGGAGGGGAAACCACAAGCTCCCCTCACTCATCCAGTAGAAGCCAGTTTAGTTCAAGAACATTCATGGATGAGAATCATGATATTTTCAGGTTCTCTAACAAGAAAAGAATCAAACTCCAAATTTTGATCGATTTCAAAAATCTCTGTCAAATCAGTAATCTACCAATATAGGTAAGTTGTTTCTTTTAGACTAATTGTTTTTTTAATTCTATTTGATTTTTGTTGTTAATCGCCAGCACCTCACCTCACCACCACATTCATCCAATAAAGGCTAGTCTGGCTTCAGAAAATTTTCTTCAGATATATTAACATGGATGAGAATCATGATGTCCCTCTGGGCTCACACTCTCTAAACCCATCCCCAAATCTTGATGTAGATTTGTTAATTTAAATTGTTGCATGTAACTATAGCTAGCTAGATATAGATTGATGGATGTATATATACTTCACTCGTCATGGTATGGTTTGTGTTCAAAATGGCGTATCTTTTGAATTAGTAGCGAAAGACCAGGAGTTAAATTTCCATAATTTTAACACTGGGTTTTACAATCTTTAACTATAAATTTGTTGTGTTGCATCTACTTTTATAGTCGTAATTTAACAACTTGATAGTACCATCAGTCATGTAATCTAATGATAAAGTTATTTATACTTTTAATAACAAATTTAAGATTCAACATTTCTATATATATATATAAAAAAAAAACTGATGTTTATTATTGATGAATTAATGAATCAGTATTCATTATTGGTTTCTAATTATGTTGTTTCATCTAAACTTGGCAGGCAATGATTTAGGATGGAAATCTCATCCCTCATAGGATGATCTGGACACGAACACAACGCGTTGCAGCGAAACATGATTAATGAGAACCTGGGAACCATCTGCAACGCGCATGTGTTTCCATGTTGATATTATCTCAATGGGGGCATTTCATGGACATTCCATCCTAATTTACGTTTCAAAGTCTTGTATTCGTTTTCCACAAGAAGACCAAGTTCCTGCCACCTCTTGAAGCCAAAGGTCAGCGGATTTGGACACACGAAACACAAATTTTTCACTTCTGAAAAGCTTACAAGACTAGGCAAAAGAGATGGGAGCTCAATAGTCTGAGCTTTAATAGCAGCTATATGGGCATAATAGGCCGGGGGCACTGGGAAAACGAATCAAGTACACTTCTTGGATAGTGATCGGATCAGTGATTTACCAGATGTTTTATTTGTCGATTTTATTTTTAATAAGAAGTGGTCGGATCAGTGATTTACCAGATGTTTTATTTGTCGATTTTATTTTTAATAATTTGACATGAGACGAGATTAAATCCACTTAATGAGAAAATGATGCACTTATTTAACATGATTAATGTTATTAGACTTGAAAGATCATGTGCTTATTTGTCGATTTTTGTCTTAAAGAATTGTAAAAGATAAACATTTCAAGACTAAGAACAAATACTTATGAGATTAATTGATATTATCTTGTATTATGAAAAATGAAGTAAAAAAATTT